TGTGTATGATGTGTATGTGTTTAGAAGAATTTTATATTTCAGATAAATGTAAGTTGATAAAATGCACAATCTGTGTCCTGAAACTGGATACAAATAACTTAAAAAAAAAAAAAGAAGAAATTTCAATTTGGATGGTCTTTTTGGTTCTGGAGTGAAACAGGCCTACCTAGTAAATTTAGTTTTGTCATTTGCTAGTTTTGATTTGGGGCTGCTTTCAACTACATTTCCTCACTGGTTAAAAGGGCATACTCATTTATCTTTAGCAAGGCTGTGGCCAATCTTCATTGAGAATGTAAAACACAGCATGATGATTGTAACAAGGTCTGACCTTAGTAAGGAGAACATTAATAAATACTAATAAGTTTCACTATAAATAACAATATAAATTTTAGGCCTGGTGGCGTGATTCCAAAAGGTCCCCAGTAAAACTAACAACTAACATTTGACAACTAGTCTCTACACTTTTCTGAGCTCCTACTGTTCTAAGGTAGTGTTCTGTTACTTGATTTTGAGATAGGGTATTGCCATGTAAGCCTGGCTGCTTTACTACTCCAGAGTCTCCTCCTTCAGCCTCCCGAATGCTGGGATTACAGGCAGGTACCACTGCTATGCTAAGATTTCTAGATTTTTTTTTTTTTTTTTTTTTTGCAAATTACCAATTTAAAATACAATCTATTCTTTAAAAAATATTCCTCAAAATAAGCCTATTGTTCTATAAATACATTTTTGGAATTTTCTGTAGTTGTACTGTAATCAAACTCAGTCAATGCTTTATTCTGGATTGATTTTACTTTAAGCATCCATGTTTATTTGTATGAATCAATCATGTGCTTCCAGTAAACTTTTGTTGAAAAGCTTGCCTGTTGAGTTAATATTGCTCTAGGTATTTTTTTCCCTTATTTTGTATACATCAACTTTGATGAACTTAAGACATTTGCCTTTGGATGGCAAATTGTACACATTTGAAAATATTTCCCTAAAATACTACTGAAATATTGTTTTATATTTCTATTCACAACTTAAAACAGTATCCTCTGGCTTCTATTTGAAAAGTTGGCCATAGAAATGGTTTATATATGATATTAAATGAGTATAAGTATAATAAAAATTTATACTTGTTATTCTGATATTTATGAGTATACAATTTAATATTTACAATGTATCATTACGTTAAATATACAAAATATTAAATATAGAAATGCTTGTCATGAAAAATATTTTATGAATCAACCAAAATTTTCTAGGTTCAGTGAATATATTAATGACCTAAACATTAGAAAATAAAGCATACATCTCATAGACTTCCAAACAGATCCAAAACAGCCATAAAACTTCAAATAAAAAGAAATTTTTCTGCTCTATTTTTCGTGGACAGAATGACTATGATATAAAAATTCTTAACAGGTGTGCAAACAGATGCAACTTGTTTATTTTATTCTTACTCTTAAATTTTCACCATTGCCAGAATGCCTATAGGCACATTTAAAATATTTAAATAAAATTTGAAAAATTTCATAAATTCTAACAGTAAATAAATTCTGTCCTCTATCATTTAGGGGGGAAAATATCTGCCCCTTCAAAACTACAAATGCCTTAAATAACGTTCCAGGAAGTATTAATATAGTGTTAGTTTAACATTTCACAAGAAAACTTACGGTGATGTTATTTCTAGTGAAAACTGAATTGCAAATGCTTTCTCCTTTCTCGGGTTATTACTTTTGTGAACATTTCTTTCTGCCTTTGGTAGTCTCCACAGCTTTCTTCTAGACTCTGTCTTTTTAGAGTCAATTCCTTTTGTCTTATATTTCTCACCTCAAATATCTTTTCCCTGCACCTTGTTTTTCGTATCTCTATATCCCTTAATATTTTTTATTTTAGTGTTTGTAGTTATGCCATTAAAATATAAACTTCTTGAAAGCAGGGTCAAAGGTTTGTTTTGTTTATTACCATATTAAAATCATTACAGTGTTTGGCCCATCTTACCTACATAAAAAATATTTGTTAAATACATAACTGGAGAAGAGAATACATTGTTAAATACATATTAACTGGAGAAGAGAACTCCAGGGATCAACACAGAGGACATGATTTGTTCCCTTGTCATTATAAATAAACAACAGAATTAGAAGGAAAATTCCCTTCTTTCAACTCAAAGTTCTCTATTATTTCCAAGTATTTGTCAGTTACAGAAATCACATTGAGAACCATGTAATTAGTACTGTATAAATTCTAGGACACAAAGTAGAAATACAAATCAGGGAGACAAGGACTACTTAACGTAGCCTGAGACTTCCTGAGCAAGTGAGATTTAAGACATAAAGTAGGAATTATGATAAGCAAGGGGAGATGATGGGAAGGTTCTAGGTAAAAAGAAAAATTTAGGATAATCTTGGTGAACAGGAAGGGAGGAAAGGCTTCTGGGTTTGCCACAGAAGGGGCATGAGGAGGAACAGTTTGAATAGAGAGATAGCCCTCGTATACCAAAGGAAGATTTTTTTCTTCCTTAACAGAAAAGGAAGCCTCGGAGTAGTTTTAAGTAAAGTATAACACAATAATATTTGCTTTTACATGAGGTGATACTGACTACACTATTAAGGATGTAAAAATAAGATAAAAGTAATTGGTTAAAAACATACAAAGATGATGCTCAGGCATCTAGAATGTCTGCTAAGAAGCTGCATAGAAAGATTAAGTTTAATCTAAGGTATTATGAGCTGTCACAACTGACAACTTTTTCTTGAGGTTGTTATTACTGATAATTAAAAAACAACAACAACAAAACCACTTGTTGAGAGTGAGGGTAATGGCGAGTGGTATGGATTTTAATTGCCTTTGGCCTGATGCTACTCCCACTGTGAACCCAGGCACTCTGGACCTGGAGTTTGGAACACCAATGGGTATTAAGAAAAGAGTAAAATTAGTATCTAACATGTGAGAGAAACATGAGAAAATAGCTTCTTTTCTGGAGTATCTTTATTTTTCCCAAATCAAGAAATTTTAAATAAAATACAATCAAGGGCAACAGGTTTATGATAGCTAAGAGATATGAGATCAATTCTAGGAAATTAGCTAATCCAAACTATTCACAAGGACTGGTATTGAATAATGGAAGAGCAAAGAGAGCTCAGAAACTTTTCCTACCCGCTGGGTAAGAATACAATGAGCAAATTACAAATCGAAGATATAGTATGCTTAGATCTTTGATCTTACAGAAGGTATTTTATGTCAGTTTTTTAAGTTAAATTTTATTAAGCTAACTTTGCCTCATTTGATAATTTGACATTTATGTATTTTCACGGAGTTGAAAAAAAGAATGAAAAAAAAGTAATTGACAGTATTGGCCATATAGTTCATGGGATTTCTTGGTGTTGTCAGTAGGAGTGCAGGAGACAGGCCTTCCTGCTGTGTGATAGCTCATGGACCCTGCCTTTGTTGCCCAGCAATACAAAGAAAGCAAAAACTAAGCATCAAGATTAGCCATGTGCTAGTATTAACCATCACTGTTGCCATCGTCCTGATCATTCTAGTAAAGCAGACCCTGAAGACACAATGTGGATGGCAAATATGTAAAATGTACAAGGCAAGTCAATTTAGTATTCTTGAATCCAGAGTTGAGAAATCTTATATGTCACCAAGGCATTTTTCTAAGAAGACATTTATACAACCAGAGAAAGAAGTAATAACGGGAAGTCAAACCTAAGGAAAATCCAGATTGTTTTACTCGCATGAAATTCCACCTAAAGCTACAGGGATTCTTGGTTAATCTCACATATAGCCATCTGGCATCGTTTAAACAACCATTTGAGAGCATTGTATAAAGATGTATATCGATTAACAGCCAGAGATTTTAAGAAATAGAATATTTCAACTGGAATCCTAAATATGTTTGACATGCATTTATTTTCACCAGCATAGTTAGTCAAAGTCTTTAAAGTGTTATGACATTTTATACATTTATTGTGTTTCTTAAACTGATACAAATACCCAATAATATTTGTCTTCACTAAAAAAAATTCAATAAGCACCTTTACATAGCTTAAAAATGAACATGTCATTGTCACTACTTTGGGGGTAAATTGTGATGTAGGTCAGACCTGGTTTAGTTCGGTAAACTATAAAGTACACCCAACCAAATATAAGAAAATGACCCAATGCTAAGCCATTCTAGTATTTGCATATATTCCTCATTGCCTTAATCCATTCTCATTTGTTTTAGTTTCAGAGACTTATGTTTTGGTACTTGTTGAGGATAAAGTGTTTTGATTATTATTTAGACATTGTAGAAAAGTCCAGATAATTTTAGATACAGTAATGTCTAAAGTTTTAGACAATGTCTAAAAAAATGTCATTTGTCACTGTTATCATCATCATCATATCACCATCATCATCATCCTAAAAATTAACCATTTACTTTATTTTTGATGTCTGGGGAATAGTGTTCAATATGCATATTTAAATTTTGTTATAGATATTAAGCTTATTAGAAGAATTGATCTTTCTTATTCCCCACTACTCAGGTTCTTTAAATTCTTGCTTTAAATCCAGTGGTTCTCAAGCTCTGCTTGCACATAGATGTTCAGACACTGAATGAAGCATTCCATACATTTTACATGATATAATCTATAATTCTGGATTCCAAAAACATAAATCTTGCAATGGTTTCAAAGCCTCTCTTGGGTTAGGCTCACTTGGTTAGAAATCATTGCTTCAATCAATCACTTTTTTTTTTTTTTGGTCGGTCGTGGGGGATGAACTCTGGGCCTGGGTGCTGTCCCTCAGCAATTCAGCTCAGGGCTAGTGCCCTACCACTTGAGCCACAAGCCACTTCTGGCTTTTTCTGCTTATATGGTGCTGAGGAATCGAACCCAGGGCCTCATGCATGTGAGGCAAGCACTCTACCCTTGAGCCAGCCTCCCAGCCCAATCAATCACTTTTAATGAAGTATAAATCAGGTTCTTTTTTAAAACCCAGTGGGTCATAGCTCTTTCATTTTCTCTTACCTCACCCATGACGGCTATGGGTGTCTCTCCTGTTGCTTGAGCAACACGATGTTCTACTAAGTAGAACATGTATTCATCATAGAGCAGACGGATCAGGTGGAAGGAGCCAAAGCTAGCAGCACTGCGCAAGGTTAAGTCTCGAATAACCATTGAGCTGTTTCAAGAGAAAAGACATATACAGCCAATATTAGTGAGAACCTGTTTTTCCTCAAAAGAAGTTACACTGGAAGTCGAAGTAGTAGTAGTATAGGTTTTTCAATATTACGGAAAGCCATTGGCTCAACACATGTAAACAGGGTAGTAAAGAAGTAATCGCGTGAGAGTGAAACTTAAACCGGATAGGTCTTCCAGAGGAAAGACTATTATGTTAACATAGGTAGATTTGCTGTTGTATTAAACTCATGAATAGATCAGAATTGACCATTTTGAAAGGTTGAAAACATATCACCAGTGTAATAAAAAAGCAACTAAAAATGTAAATCTTATTCATGATAGTTAACAACCTATAATTTCTAAATGACGAAGGCCATTAGCATACACTTTGGAAAAGTATGTATTTATGCTAGACAAAGCACACAGAGTTCTGAAAGGCAGCTATCTAGAATACAGATGAGTATTCACAGAAAGGAAGACAAATTTATTGATTCTAGTTTCTTACCCATTTTCATTTACATTAAGGTGATTTTCCATCAGAAGCAGATATTATAAGCGCAATTAAGAAATTATCCCATAAAAATGTGAATATTTAATTTGTATAATATCCAAATATAAAAATAATAATAGTTGCTAACAACTCTATTATATTCAAAGTAGAAATCAATAAAAAAAAGTCTTGGCCTTATTAAAGATGTGCAGATTATTAACCTTATTCATGTATTACAAACCTTTTTAATATCAGTAGTAAAAATAATATATGCATGCTTGTGTATGTATTATGTATTTTCTCATCAATATCATGGAATGACCATTTTCCAAAGATGATGATGATGATGATGCTAACGATACTGTCATTACATATTCAACATGAAGAAAAAACTCATAAATATATAGCCGGATATTCTTAATCCTTGTTTTGCAATGTACAATTGTAAACTACCCAAAAAATGGAAAAATTTAAGACTGTAGTTTTATTATTTTTTTTAAATACTTTAGATTCTATGTACAAATACTCAAATACTGTAACTCAACTCTGGAAATGACAAATCATCCATATATATGAAATAGAAAAGCCATGGACTCTGGCACTGGCTTTTTGGTAACTGATTGCTAATCTCAAATAAATAATTTCCTTGACTTACATATTTTCTTAAAAAATATGAAATCAAGCTGGGCACTGGTGGCTCACACCTGTAATCCTAGCTACTCATGAGGTTGAGATCTGAGGACTGCAGTTTGAAGCCAGCCCAGGCAGGAAAGTTGGAGAGACTCATCAGCAATAATCTACTCAGAAAAGGCTGGAAGTGGCACTATTGCTCAAATCATAGAATGCTAGCCTTGAGCACAGACAGCCTCAGGGACAGAGCCTAGGCCTTAAGTTCAAGCCCCAGGACTGGCCAAAAAAAAAAAAAAAGGAAATCAATGATTTTAGTCTTATCTAATGTATGTTTAGAATAAGATGAGCTCAAGAATGTGAAATTAACTTATGAACAGAAGATGACTCAATATAAATAATTATAACATACAGAGTACAAGTTGTCTCTATTCTGTTTAAGAGATGAAGAGTACAGATTACTATATATTAGTCAGAGGACCTCTCATTTTTGAGGATCTATTTACAAAAACGGTAAAGAATTAAATAAAAAAGGAAATCCACAAATTTGATGTCATAAGCCTGGTTGCCATTATACATTCCTGATTATGATTACATTATGTTTTTTTTTTAAGGCTTAAAGCTTAGCTTGAGGGTCAAATAAAACTATATTCCATTTCCTTTAACTCATTTAGATTTTGGTTTTCTTGGTTATCTGTGGTCCACTGTACTCTGAAAATGTTAAATGAAAATTTCAGAAATAATAAGTTTTCAATTGTGTATTCTCAGTAGTGTAATGCAAACGTGTTTTACCTACTTCTTCCCACCTGGGATGTGATTCATCCTTTTGTTCAGGGTATCTACCTTTGTGTTCAGTATATGCCACCTATTAGTAGCTAGTTTAGGTGTTCAGGTTATACCACTGGAAAAAAAATTAAATCTGGCTTTCAATCATATTGTCTAGTTTTTGAAGATCCAATAATCCTGACATGAAATTATTATAGTAGTCTTTAAAAAAGAATCATTTGAATTGTATTATCAGAGTTATAGCTATACTTCAGTCTCTCTGTGTTGGATCTCTGCCCTACATGACAGTACTCAATAATAGTTAACAATTTAATTGGAAACGTATTGTCCACATTAGACTCCTGTTTAGCTATGTTGCAGATTTAAACTCCACTCATTTTCATGTTGCTAAGTTACCATGAACTCAACTCTTTCTAAAATCAGTTATAAGCATTAATTATTTGATAGTGGATGACAGGTGCCTTTGAATGTTTACCCTTTATAATTCTTGGTGTGGAAATTACAATACATGCCCTAACACATGATTCTCAGCTTATCTCTGCATACTCTTCCCCAGTGAAGAGGAGAGACCAGACTTGAGACCCTCATGTAAACTCTGAGCAATGAGTATAGCTGGTTAAAAACCATGTGATTTTTTTTTTTGTTGCTTTGTATGTTCCTCCCCCATGGTATAACCTGTTTTCGCTGTATTTTTTGCCAGTATAATTTGGGGAGGGGAAGGGAAAAAACAAAATGTTTAAATAGGGATACGGGTTGACCCACTGTAACAATGAAATGTACAAGACACTAGGTTGAAAACAAACTTTACAATTTGGGGGGGGGGAGGAGAGGGCGGGCAGGGGGGAAGGTGGAGGGGTGTTGGGGGGAGTGTAGTTGTGGAGATGGGAGGGAAGGGATGGTAGGGAAAAACAAAGGAGGAGGCACCAATGCTTGATAAGAAAAGTACTCATTACTTTACTCATGTAACTGTAACCCCTCTATACAGTATTTTCACAATAAAAAACTTATTAAAAGGAGTATTCACTATGAACATTAAAAGGCTTAGATACTGCCCTGTTGTAGATACTGCCCCATGTCCTATTTAAAGTTAGGATAGGAAAACAATGAATCTCATTAAGTTTTTAACTTCTTTATAGTGCTGAGATCAAAATAAGATACTAGCATACTAGACAAGTGCTCTACCAATGAGCTATATATATCCCCACTCATGAACTCTGTCCTTTATAAAATAAAAGGACTATTTGAGGATGGAGAGGTAGCTTAGTGGCAGAGTACTCACCTAGCATATACAAGACTGGGATTAAACAGCAGCACTACAAAACAGAAGTAATGTTTAGGTAACCTTTGTGGTAGCCTGAGGGAATGTTCTCCACTGTTACCTAAAACACTCAAGCAGCTGAAAAAGGCCCATATAACTTCCCTATTTTATCTCAAGAAAGTAGTGATTGATTTTCCCGTTCCCCCTCTCCCTGGACCATTCCTCTTAACCTTTGAATGTTAGCATTCAAAGCAAGGTTAAGGAAGAAGAGAACTCCATTTGGTGCACTGTAAACAGACTGCATTTTCAGCAATCTATCAACAGCTTCTTAGCGCATGATTCTCTGCCACTTTACCCCTACAGTTCTGTGCACATAAATATGTACACAGATTTTCAGAAATTAGAGATTAGCTATCTATTTTCAGAATATGAAAGAGCCGTATCTGTAACTGCCATATTTACAATGACATTTACAAATTTACAAATTTTGGCATTTAAAATGCCAGAAATTTTGAAAGTACTCAAGTCCTATTTTTCTGATATTTGTGAACATAGCTTCCATTACTCAATCTGTTCTTATGCCTCAATAAATAACACTTTGGAGAGTACAGGGACTTACATTTCTAAGCTATTGACTTGGCCTACCAGCAGGAGGTATGCATCTGTTTTGAAAGTACCTTTCCTCTGTGGCCCTCAACTGTATGCCTTCAAGTCTTTTTGAAATGAAAATAATAACTATAATAGTGTCTAATAATCACAAGGCAATTATCTCCAACTCAGGGAGGACAGAGGGCAGGCAAGTGATGATCTACTGGGTTTGTACATCTGCAGAGAACAAGAAATACAAGTAGGTAATTTTCTCTCTTTTCAGGATACCTGCAACCGATCTCTGTGAAGGCTTCAGGGTCTGTATTTTTGAAATCATCTCAACTAAATATAGGGCAAGAAAGTCTCACAGGAAGAAATAAAGGCACCACAGAAAACAATAGAAAGGGAAGGAAAAAAAAGAAAACCTGCTTGTTTTTTTTCTGCTGCAGAGGATGGATGGATTTTGCCTTGGGTCATAAGTTTTAGAGAAGACAAGTAGCATTATTTTTCTTTCATCTGTCATTCATGGGGTGCATACATTGTTTATATTATTTTTTCTGGGAAAAATTTTGATGACTAAAGTATTGGCTTCTGAGCAAATAAAGTATCAGGAATCCTCTTAGGAAATATTCCCAGATTAGAATTTTGAATCGTATTAGCACAGGATCTCCTTTGAAAATATTGTGATAATGCTTTTTAACTCTCCCCCTTAAAGTGAGGGAAAATGTAACATTTCTTGTCAACTTGTCTCTCACGAACACCCAGACCCAAACCTGGCACTGACTTCACCGAAGCACTAGTGGGCCACAGAGTCAGCATCTTAATAAGGCATTTCTCAAATCTCATGAGCTAAAGGTATAAAACAGATGAGAGGAAAACAGAAGAGAAACAGAAGTGAAACACTACTAAAGAAGTGCCAGGCTTTTAACCACTGTTTTTTAATGCTTGGCTATATAACAGAAAGCTGTTTTGAGAACTTGGGATAATTTAATTGTTAACTCAAAATAGACAATGGAATTGACACCAGTACTTCAGTTTAAAAAAAATGAGAATTTGGGCCAAATCAGTTGAGCAAGAGTGCTTTTATTATATTTACCGAGAGACTAACCTTCCTCATAACTGAGTCCAAAGACTCACCACCAATGTGGAGTATTATCCACAGTCAGCTAGAGGCATTATCTTATGGTAATTACTTTCAACAAATTAGTGTACGACTTGCGACTACATCGGATCTAAATAAGGGGCTGCCTATACTGCTTATGTAGATACAGCCATTAGGCTCGTGTCAGAGGAGCTAGCTTTATCTGAAGAAGTAAATTCATAAACTCTTATGAGAACAAATGTCAGGGCAAAAAAAACATAACTTATCTAACTTATCTAATGAAATAATTTCATCCTGTATATATATATATACATATATATATATATATAATACATACACACATATATATATATACATATATATATATATATGTATATATATGTTCCCCAACACAGGTCATAAAAATGCTCTTTCAATCCTTGTAGAAGAACTTTACTCTAGAGCTCATCCTAATATTTTCTATCATATGTCACATAATCAGAAAACCTTTTCCCTTCTGGGTTGCTTCTATGCTTATAAAAATATAAATTTCTATCTATAGAATTTTAGTCAAAAAGTGATTCATATTGTTAATAAGCTATGCTGCTGTCTACTAGATTATTGGCCATGCATCAGAATCACTGGGAAGAGTTTGTGTTGTCGTCTTTTTTTTCTTTTCTCTTTAGGAAACCAAACTTCAAATTCCTAATCTTGATTACAGGCATTCCTCTAACCATTTTTATTCAGTGGGTCTTAAGTACATTCTAAGTGCCGCTTAATGTTGGAGTATTAATTCTGATATCTGATTTGCAGCATGTTTGAAAACAATTGTAACCTGACCAAATGAAGAAATTAACTAGCTGCCTCTGGGGATGCATCAGAATAACCCAGAGGATTTAAAAACAGATTGCCAAGTCTTCCTTCATAGAGTCTGCTTTAGGTACAGTTGGGGAGGAGCCTAACAATTTGCATTTGTAACATATGTCCAAGTGACAGTGACGCTACTGGTCCGGGGACCAGCTCTGAGGATCAATGCAGAAGAGAACAAAAGAACAATATTAACATCTTACAGAGAAGCCTCAGCAAGGCCTGAACAAAAGGAAGGACTGTATCTCTTTGCTGCAGGCTTCTGAACACACTATCTACACTAGAACCCGAGAAATGCTCATTGGAAGACTTCTGGGGGTTCAAGCAAGAGAATTTTTTCTTTGCTAGCAGAGAGTTGCTTTCCCAAAGAGTCCTGATTCATTCATACAAGGCTGGAATCTTTAAGATGGCCGGAGAGAGTTACAACTGGGGTTCCACAAATTCTGAACTCACTCACTTCTTGGTCCTAAAGCTCACGTGGGCTCACGTGCATGCTCACACGCGCGCACACACACACACACGCACGTGCGTGCGTGCGAGGGTGAGGGGAATACCTGTAGAAAGACCATTTTAGCAAGAACTGCCGGGCAGCTTTGGGGAAGCTGGGCCTTCCTTCGTAGGGCTTCAGTGCTTGCATCATCACGTTGTCCAGCCACGCGGCCCACTGCTCCAGCGTGCTCTGCTGCTGAAGGGTCATTTTGAAATCTGTCTCGAGTCTCTGAACCATGCTGTCATCACACTGGCACACCCAGGAAGCTTGCTCCTAGGAGAGGCCACAGAAAGCAAGGGAGGAGTTCAACCACATTGTCTTTTTCAGCTAGTGCCAACCCACAGACAAGATGCATGATAGGAAACGGACTCATTGCCTTACTCATGTAACTGTAACCCCTCTGTACAGTATCTTTACAGTAAAAAATAGATTCAATTGGCTAAATGGGATCCCCCAAGATGAAACCAAAATCAAAGAGTGAATGGCCCTGTGTAGAAGCCATTTAAGTTTACGGGCTAGAGACAGGTTTATCAATGCTATCACAAGGTTTATCAAAGCTAAGCTACAAATGTAAATGAATTCACACAACTGAATAAATATAAACATGCTACTGGCCAAGTTTTGATTACTAGGTTTTCCTTTCGGTCTGGTTGGGAATGAAAATAGGAACTTTGAAAGTTACTTCTTAGAGGTTGCCGTAAGTTTCATGATTTTTTTTTTCCAATGTTATGTTTTACTTTTAAATTAAAAGAAAGAACATCTATTCTCTCAAGGCCAAAATGTCTTTATTTGGTATTATAATATTTGACTGACAACCAGAAGACATGGATCTTATTCTAGTTCTTAACTAAAACAAACTGACCTCAAGCAACTAAAAATTTGATCTCTGTAGGCTTCAGTTTCTCTGGGCATAAAATTAGATAAGTGAAATTTAACAAGAATTTTTAAACTTGGTTCACTATGTCCAGATAACTTTTCAAGATGGGATTCTTGAAAGCAACATCCAGAAAAACTCTCAACTCTACATGCAAATCACTGAATATGTTTACATTTTCCTGAAAATAATGTCCATAGCTTTTCTTCTATATGTTCTTATAGGACAACTTCTTTTCAAATTTGTAACTTTGACTTGACAAATTTCTGATCTTCATTTTTCTAGACTATCTCTTGCTCCTATAAACTTTACCTTTTTCAGGGTCATTTCAAACAAAATGCCCAAAGTCAATTTATTTCCCCAGGGAAACCTCTTCTTTATTTTATCTAATAAATCATAAATTATAAATTATACATCATAAGTTATTCCATGTTTTACATATCACTCATAAAAATTTTAAATAAAAAATGATTATGGAGAAAACTGAGCACAGAGATACGGAAAAAGGAACAAAATATTAATAGCTAAAATGGTAACAGTATATGCACAGAGCTAAATATGCATACGAATACCCTTTAACATTTCACATTCTCATAAAAATGTGTACCAATGAATATAACATTTTCACATGCTACATTATGCATATGTATCATTTAGAATATTTTGTTATATATTCACAATATATCTACACATATGCTAAACTCTTAGAAATTTATAATATTTAAATATATTTTAATTAAGAGGATCATATCATACATTCTCTTAGATATTATGCCTAATTTAATGATACTCAATTATGCTGGAAAATGTGGAGCTACATTTTCTGCTCAATGAATGAATTTTATTTCATTGTATACATTAATATTTACAGAGGTAGTTCCATACAATAAGAAGTTTGTTTTAACTTTTACAAGCAAAAATTAGTGATGTTATAACAATATTTTGCTTACTTTCCAACTTATTTTTATGATTGATTTATATAAGAGGAATATAGTTAAGACAGTTTACTTATGGTGTAAAATAATTCCCAGAAATATTTTATCAAGTTAAGAGTCCAAGATTGCCCACAGTAAGGAATTGTAAGAATCAAGAAAGTTACTGGAAAAGTTTATCCTTCCATCAAATCTGGTCATTCTTTCTCATGATAGGAAACACATACAATGAACATCTTAACATTCATGTGTATATAGTTCAATGGTGTTAACTACATGTACCTTGTTATGCAACATGTCTCTAGAGCTTTTCATCTTGCAGAACTAAAATACACTCCCCATTATAGTGGAGCTGTGGCTCAAGCGATAGAGCACTAGCCCTGAGCAAAAAAATGCTTGGGAAAATTGCCCATAAAATAAAAACAAACACACCTCTGAGAAGTAAATGTAGGGTGAAATGAAACACTTGCCACTGTGTTTATGATTCAAAGAAGAAAGGAAAAAGTTTCAAGAGGGCAGATGCTAAACCCTATAGGGTTCAGCATTAATGACTGTCATAAAGGTGCAGAAAAACTTGATAAAACTTAGTAAGAGAAAACTAAGTTGCTGGGTAGAGAGTAGCTAAATAAGAGCAGACACACAGCTGACCATTTATAAGATATTTTCAAGGTTAGTGTTTACTAGAGAAGAGTTCATTAGTATACATATTTGATGGGACTGTAGACAAATCCACATATAAAAACATTGCTACTACAACTCATAAAACATTAATGACCTTCTCAGAGGTCATTACAAATCATTCTTTTTTTTAATTTAATTTTTTTTGTCAAGGTGATGTACAGAGGGGCCACAGTTACACATGTAAGGTAGTGAGTACATTTCTTGCCGAATATTGTTATTCTCATACATATTTTCTATTACTGATCTTAATTTACTTTTAGAAACTAGAAGGGGTCTTATTAGTGTGAATTCAAAATTTCTTCATCTTTAAAACATTTAAAATGAGGATTTGAAATACATATTAGAGTGCAGATTTTAAGGCAATATAAACAATATTATCAGTAAATTAGTTCATGTAATTAATTGAAATACTTAAAATAGATGGCTTTCCAAACCTGTGACAGTTTGCTCTTGTACAGACTAAGCTTTGGTAACTGTTTATGTATATAGGTGTGTTTGTAGACATAGATAAATAGATAGATAGATAGATAGATAGATAGATAGATAGATAGCTAAGATAGATGATGGATGAAAAAAATTCTTTTTTTTTTTGAAATTTTCATGCTATTTTAATGACTATAGTGGCAACATTTGATAGACTTTATTGGAAGGAATTTACATTTTTATGAATGTAATTACAAAGCATTTAAGCTTTAGCACTATTTTTGTTTTTTGTTTTTTTGAAAAAATATTTCTATATTAAAAATCAGTCTGAGAACTTTTCCTTTCCCTAAAACAAATTCTACACCTTGTATATGTGCTGCTTCCAAGCTCTGTAATCAATCAGTGCTGGGAAACTAAATATCTACTTTCTGTCTGTCTGTCTCTGTCTATGTATGTATGAATATATTATATATAATTTCATAAAGATATATAAAATTTCATATAAAGAGAAGCATTCTGCATGTGATCCTTTGTAGTCAGCATCTTTCACTTAGCATTTTCCAAGGTTGTAGTATGATCTAAAGCTTTATTTCTTTTCATTGTCCAATAACAGAGTACTGTGTAGATAACACCACCTATCAAAACAGTTATGGATATCTTAGGTTGTTTCCACTGCTAATTTGAATAATGATGCTATAAAACAGCTAAGTATCTGGGTGCTGCTGGCTCACACCTGTAATCCAATAAATTACTCTCCCCACACAGCAAAAAAAAAAAAAAAAAAAGCCAATTATCCACCAGAAAACCAGAAGTGGCTCTGTGGCTCAAGAGGTAGAACACTGTCTTTGAACTGAAGAGTTGAAACCCCACAACCACCACCAACAACAATAAAACACACATCTAAGTACAGGTTGAACATCTTTAATCTGAAAATCCAAAATCTGAAATGCTTCAAATCACTAAAACTTTTGAGCAAAAGTTTTAGGTTTTAGGACATTTCAGATTTGGGTGTTAGGGATAATCATAGAAAAAGTCTATTTAATACCAAAAATCTCAAGAACTCCAAAGTAAGAAACATTTCTAGTCCCAAACATTTTTGGATAAGAGTTACAAGTATGTAGAACTGGATGTTTCCAGTTCTCTTAGGTATATTTAAGAGAGTTGAATTGCTCAGTCATATGGTAACTCTATGTTTATAGAATGCTAAAGTAATATTCTTAAATTAGCTATTTTGAAAGTGTACTTTAAAGTACAAGAATAATTTACCCACCAGTTTACAAAGTATTGTTTTTCACTTGATCTGCTAAAGTAGCCAAAATTACTATACCCAATTCTTTTCAAGGGAACAAACATTTCCCAGGGATATATGATAAACTTTCTTAGTTCTTTCAAGATGGGTTACTATAATAACGAAAATATCTCTGTGCTTGATACGGTACAAATTATTAAATCTGTAAATAATAATCTAAGACAACTGTTAGAAGGTGGAAAAGATAGCACAGAGTAGTTAATAAGCAAGTTCCGCAAGATTCAACACATATTAAATAAAAGCGTAATTTCCTGCCTTACTTCAGCGACTGTGCTCTTCATTATCCTTTAATTATGCAGTAAACTGGTGACCTATTGTGCTGCCTGCTTTGAGTGTATCTCAGTAGGCTTTAATCACACTCACAAAAGATACAGTGGAGGGCTAAGGAGCGGCTCAAGCAGTGAAATGTGAGGCCGAGTTCACTCTAGTTCCTCAGTTTACAAAGACAAAGTAACGACATTGGACAGAGTACCTGGACATTGGCGAAGTCAACACGGTTGAGGTCATTGAGCATCTGGTTGATCTGGGAAGTGTTCTGAAGCACTGCTCGGGCTGCCTGGGCCAGGTGATTGAGCGATGTGTATCTTCGCAGAGTCTGGGCAAAGGCACTTACAGCGGCAACCTGTGGAGAAAACCAAGTCAACAGGGAAGTATTTTTCTTCCAGTAAATGAAACCACTGTGTAATAATCTTCTCTTCCTTGTCAAACTTAAAGTGCTTCTCTTTAGCTCTTATTTCACATTGGTTTGGTAAGAGAGTTACTTGAAAATTGTGGAACTTAAATCTCTTTAATCAGGGATTACTTTCTTTCTGAGCATACTGAGGTCAAGACTGAAACTCACACATTATTTGACATCAGAGTATAACATTAATTAAGCCAGTATTGAAAGTATCTCCTCCACACACACACACTCACACACACACACACACACACACACACAAAGACTTTGTCTAGGCAAATACAAAATAAATTAGCATTCATTTCTTTTAATATATCTTTTTTATTGTAAAGATGAGTAAGGTAATGAGTCTATTTCCTATGGAGCACTGTTACCCCCTCCTTTGTGTTTCCCCTACCATCCCTTCCTTGCCACCTCCCCAACTCCGACTCACCCCTCCCCCCTTGCCCCATGCCCGAAGTTGTAAAGTTCGTTTTCAACATTGTGTCTTGTACTTATTTCTTGTTTTAATTCTTTTTATGACAGTTAGGAACTAGGAAAATAAAAACATTTGTTCTTATTTGAGAAAGCAAATTATGTCATAGTTTTTAACTGGATTAAAAAAAAATACCTTTTAGACCACTATCGTTCAGATTCATCTTAAAGATTTACAACAAGTTGGATGATTTTAGGGTAAAACTAGAGAATTCGTAGTTTTTGATGGGTAATAAATTTATCAGAGATAAACATGCAGAAATTTTAATTTCTTTTTGAATGGGCTAATCATGAAATTTCCACTTGCCTCTTTTCATCCTCCTTTGTGCTCTATCCAAGAGACTAACCAGAATGGAATCTATTAACCCTCTCCTTTACCCTCTATCTTCCAAGGGGGTTGGACAATTATAACCACTGCTAGGAGCTGGAGGATATGAAGAAATAGTGTTCAAACTATTATTTTCCAAAACTCTAGTCTTCACTTACACACACACACACACACACACACACACACACACACACACACACACACACATTTTTCTTTTCTAAATGCTATCATGCTCCTGGGGAGGCTGTAAGCAAAAGAGAGGATTCAGGATTCTTAATGGCATGGATTTGCTTTTAACCCTTTAGACTTAAGAGGTGTTAAGGATTTCCCATTATTGTTAGCCCTTAGATGCTTAATCATTCCTCCTCCTTTTTTTTTTTTTTTAAACTCTGTTCACACCTTTGGAAATAAACTGTCTTCAACAATGCCTTCCATTGGAATATAGCATTTGTTTCTTTCTGGGATTCTGAAAAGTATAGTTTATGTTGAAATATATCAAAACAATGAAAAAAAGATGGTATTATACACACACAACACTGTTACACACACAGTAGAGCTAGTGCTTCTAACCTTCTAAAAATGTTAAACTACTATATTTGCTATTGCAAATATTCCTATAGATCTGCAAACTTTTTATGTATATATAAGAAGCAAGTAGCAGGCAAGTCAGCTTGTTCAGTAATAGAATAGTTTCACAGGCAAAGAATGATCTACACTGATAGTGAGATGCTTAAGGACTATACGCAACTTGGAGAAATGCTTGCATATCCTCAAAAAACAATATTTCATGTAGTTTTCCACTTTGTGGTTTATAATAATCTAGTACATGCTACATGCCAAATATAGGGTTAATATCTCATATATATTAGCATGTTTAATTGTCAAAATCATCTTATTAAACACATATTATCCTTTAAAAAGACTATAGCTGGCTCAAGGTTATAAAAGTGGTAAGATTTAAACTCAGATACTTTGATCTCTATCCCAACAGTAGCTGTTGATTGAGGGTGAAATTGCGTGTGTGTGTGTGTGTGTGTGTGTGTGTGTAAATAATATGCTACATTGCTAACATACACTGAGCTATTATGCGATAATTGTTGACTTGAAGAAATGTCTTTTTAAATGGAAAAAAGAAGCAAACTATGAAGTATACCTTGGTTTGTATCATTCTCTGTGGAATATTGTTCATGGCATTGGAAAGCCAACCTTCAAGGCTTTTTGCAAAATTTCGAATGGCTTGGGTCAAGGCACCTAAATGATAAACAATAAAAGGAGAGCAAAAAGAGAAAGAAACCAAAGATCATTAATGTTTATGCCGGAATAAGGGGAAAACATGCACATAACTATATCTTATACAGTGCAGAAGAGAATTTAGTGTTCTCATTTACAAAACTTTATTATTCCCAATGTCTTACAGCATCAGAGAGTTAAGGACCTTTGGTCTTTTAAAGCTATTTTCTTTCCAGATACTTATGACACTTTGTTGGGAATAAAAATATACAATTGGCTTTGTTTACAGCAACATATACCAGTTGTGAATATACTTAAGGAATTTTTCTACTTTGGAATAACTTTCTTCTCATTAATAGCTTTGTGCTTACAGGCTAAACATTTTTTAAAATAAATTCTTCACTTTGATTTCTTAATCTAGTTCCATATCTTCAGTTAAAAAGAAAGATAGCACAGTTCCCCCCCCACACATGTAGCTACTTATACTAGAGCCCGTGAATCAAAGTATATCTTTCTTGTTGAAGTAAAAAATAAAATTGTTCAACAGGAAAAATCTAAATCACTGTTTTCCACCTTACTTGGTAGCTAGAGATAAAAGATCAGTGTGCTGAAACTGCTGCCACAGACATCAATGTTCCTAAACTAGTCCTACCATGGTCCATGTTATGATCTTCACCTAAAACAGGGGTAAGCCCCATGAAGAGCACTGTATGGTGGTCGTACCATGCTCGCAAGTATATCTTCAGTTACTACTGATAACTGTGACTATTTTACAGCAAGGAATCTGCTTATTGATAGTGCTCAACAACTCAGTCCTTGGTATTTTACATGCTACATGCCCATGGCTGCATACATATTTGTTAATAAGTATTTGAAGCACCCACAGCATAAAATTCATCTCTGTAGGTTCACTACAATGTGGTAGATGTAAAAAATATATATATATACTCTATTATAAGAAACAATGAAGCTACAATTTTTTGGCCAACTGCTCCCAAGAATAAAATATTAATGATAAATTATTTGTTTTCCTTTCTGTGCTCAAGTGAGTCTGACATGCTTCTCTGTAACTTTTGTCCAAACAAGTTTTAGAAGTAATTTAGCTTACTCATGTTATTTGCAAAGGATATAAATTTTACTGCTAAGTTTGTTAACTGGATAAATGATAGAAAAGATTCAAATGGTCTAATAATCATTAGAATAAAACATTTAGGTAAACTCTTAGCCATGAAAATTGGACATGCTGAATCAGAATTTCTTGAGAACAAATCTTTTGAAGTCTCCAAAACTTCCCATTTTAGCCATAAAAGAAAAAAGAAAGAAAATATCTTTCTGTTGTGCTATGTACTCGAACCATGGAGCGCAGGCATGGATGGAAATGAAAAAGAGTGAAAAAAATTAACACTTTTGAAGCTCAGTAACAGTTTGATCAAGATTCCATTTGCTAATCTATATATTCCATTTTTTCTATTATTACTTAATTTGAAAACCCTTCAAGAACCTAAATATTAAAAATGTCAATATGGACTTTGTTCTACCTAGACAAATTATGCAAAGGAGATTTTTTAAAATAAAAGAATATATTATACATATTAATTAATTAATTACATGTTTTTAACTTTTTTTTGCACTAAAGGATATTCTGGGCCACATTTAACTATATTCCTAATTGTCCCTTTTGGTATTATGAGTTAAGTTCTTATATCGTACTTCACACTTAATTTTTTTTTCACTTTCAGATACATGTATTTTAGAATATAGTAACTTCAAGCTGACTTTAAATTAGTGTGATGTGCAAACTTCTTTTTTGCTAAAAAAAGCAATCCCATCTGGACAGAAACTGGTAGAGTGAAGTACTAGTAGACAGGAAAATACAATTTTAAAAAATAAAATTAAGTTTTCTCTCTCTCTAGGCATTCATGTAAGATCAAAATTGTGCAGATCGACTCTGACAACTTCTAAATACTCGTAAATGGATGGTTTGGAAGTTGAAAATGATTCCACAGCTGACTTGCCTCAACCTGCTCAATATTAGTATTAAAATGCATGCAACCCAATGATAGCTATCTGCACTGATTTTATGCTGCATTTTATGTAAGCCTCATTGTGGAGTGGGGAATTAAGTTTCCAATTTTCCTTGCAATTCAAAGATATAAACTTGAGTTTTGTGCTGAATGTAGAGACAAATTACCTGACAAAAACACTGCTTTACAAATTAAAATTTACAAAAGACAAAGAGCAAGTGTATTTTGTACTTCAAATTCTGAGACTTAAAGTCAAGGAAAACTGATACATTTAAAACAAGGAAACAGTTAATGGTTCAGAAGTTAAAGTTTTATGATGCTAATACAAAAGCCAAAGAATTCAGAATTGTTTAATGAATATTGATGCTGTTGATTTGCCTCAAAAAAGAAAGACCTCGCTGACATCTCTTCTTGTGTCTCATGAGAAGACACATATTGGTGGCAAAATGTCATAGGATAATGAGTTACCCTATGCAACTCCTTTTAAACATCTCTAGCGATGATCACTCAGTGTGAACAGGGAACAAGGGGTAACAAGGAAAATCAGATTCTGGAACATAAACCAGTAGAGAATTTGCATAAAGAAAATTTCCATGATGAAATCATTTTTCATCAATATTTAGTCAGGGAACTTAGTACAGATCAACAGGAGAGGAACACACTAGCAATTCTAGTTTCAAGACAATGTCAGCAGGAATTCCTTTGTTTTCACTTATTGCTCCATAAATGTTGTTTTCATCAAAATCATATGTAAATGTGTATAAGCCTATACTTAAGGCAGTGGGAATATATAACAAATGATAAATTCTGCTGTCATCAGTTGTATTTAGAAAAAAAAAAGGTATAAATTTACAGATGTTAATTAACCCCTTCCTCTTCTACTAAACCCTGTTTATATATTCTCTGGAATAATTTAGCAGAATTATGTGAATAGTCTATTTGAAGTATATACTTGTCAATTTCACAAGGTAAAAGGCTGATTTTTATTTTATTAGTGTTAATGTCAAAAATAAAACTATTCTGTTTCCTTAATTTCACTAGTTAGTCTGAATTCATACAGATGTGGGTGCCAGATAGTTTCAACTATTTTTTTTAACAATATTTACAGTAGCAGTTTATAGTGATAGCTAGAAGGTAGCTTTAAAAGCACCATCAATTAAAAAGGAAATTTAAGCTATGCGATTCCCATTTGCTTCATAGTAGGGATATAATATTTGTATAGTTATCTAGACCTTTCTGTCAACATGTCAGGAAACCATTACTGCTAATGGAAACAGAATTTGTCATTCTTAACGTGATATTGGTGCCAAAGTAAATGGTTTCATAAATTAATCCAACTCTACTGGAAACCAATAAAAATTCCTCTTAAATCAAAAGCAACCATGCAAAAAGTGGGCTGCATTATAGAACTTCTGAATAGATGAAAAGGACCTAGGGCTTGGTTAATTTTTTCATGGTTGACTAACTTAGGAGTGTTCCTGCAATTAATTCATTGGGGCTCTCAGATATGTAGGTTGGATATTTTATTATTCAAAAAGAAACTGGAAGACTGGAATACAGGTCATTTCTTCACTTTACTATGTATGTATATTTTTTTCCTCTAGGCTGATCTCATACAATATTCTAAGTTGCGTGTGTTCTACTTGACAAAATTTAAATGAAGTTAGGATCATTCCAGATTGTCACCGTCACTTCCCAAAACTTTTCTGGGCGGTATTATGAGAACAAAAGCATCCATAGTCGTCTGCATTTAACTTACTAGGAATAGGTCTAAGGACGTCGGGGATGAGAATCTCCACCAAAGCCTGGTACATCCCATGGTCACAGTTACACATCCATTTCAGGATAGACTCATGTTTGCACAGAGTTATCAGCTTTGCTTTCGGAAGTCGACTTTCTATTTCACTCAGATTGCTGGTGTGAATAAATGTAGCAAATGAATAGATGGCAAATGAGGATAAAAAAGAAAATGGACTTTAAAAATAGTTTATCAAAGATTATTGAGATTAGACTACACCACCATTGCACTGGTGCCAAATGGCTGGATATATATGTATATATATATAAACATATATATATATATAAAACACTCCCCCAGAGCTGCTTAGGCACATTTCTATTTTCTGATGGTCTGAAAAGGCAGATATGATAAGTCATTCCATGAAGGTGAAATAGCTGGACTGTACTCCCCCAAATCAATAAAATGGGAGCTTTATATACACTGAAACCTCAAGAGAGCAGTTTGTGGTTTACGTCTAGGATGGCCAAAGTTATCAGTCTCCTCACAGTAATGTTATCAGGTAAGGTTCACAACTGGTATACATATCTCTAGTGTACTAGCTAGGACATCTACTCAGCCATGAAAATCCATTGGAAAAGTATATTGATTCTGACCTTGATTCAGTAATGGTAGTGCCATCAGTTGGAGTCGAGGGAGAATAGCGCCAGAATGTTTGCCATAATTTTTCTATCAGGCTAAATTGAAGATTCACAACAACATCCAATATTGCCTAAAAAACAAATGGTCAAATCATAACACTTCTTGTACTTTCCCTAATTTTCTTACTTTACCACCAGCTGTTCTTTCTTAATGGATCATTTATATTTCCTTCTCAATGAGTCATGCTATTTGCTCTTTCTCTTCTACTAGAATTGCCTGATGCTTCTGTTATACCCTAGTCCCTTTTGTCTACGGAGTCCTACAACATGGGCACTATAAAATGTGATACATCATAAGGGTATGCAAGACCTAGTAAGAAACAAAGGATATGAATGGACTATAATTCGCTTATGTTGTTTGCATGTTGCAATGAGAGCATAGAAAAAGGGAAATTTACTATTTTCCCGAGCATGTGCATGTGAACATGCCAACACCATGACATCACAATATCTTAGTAATAAAATGTTGAGGATAAATAATAATTTGTATGCAGTATTTTCTCAAAATTTTGGCAAGGATTTATTTTAGAATAACTGGAGAAAGTAGAAAAAAATAAAACAGAGGGGAAACACTTCTTATTGCCCATGCAACAAATGGGAACAAAAACTCCCATAGCATTTTCTTGTTGCAACAAAAAAACCCCTACATTTTAAAAACTCAGTAAGAAACATAGAAAAGTACTTAATAATATGTCCAGACTGTTTTCATGTAGAATTATAATATACTGCATTTCAGACTGATAGTAAAAAAAATAACTAAAACTAACTAAGCTTTGTTCTCATTGCTTACATATTAAAATGATGCCAAACTGTATTTTAGTGACTTATAAATAGAATAAAGTTAATATTTGGTAAAAGTATAATGAAAATGTACTTGATTACTTCCATTTCTAATGATATTAAACTGTCTCTTCAACATAGAAAGAGAGACATGTTTTCTGGCTCATGCCTATAATCCTAGCTATTAAGAGTCTGAGAACATCTAGGCCAGATTACAAAGAAAAGTGTATAAGACCCCTTTCTCAATCTCTAGCTAAGTGTAATAGGCATGCGCCTTTCACCCCAAATCTATGTGGGAAGCTTGAGCTTGGGAGGGTAGCTGTTCTAGGGTAGCCTGGGCAAAAAATCTACAAGATTCTATGTCAACAGAAAGAATGAATGCAATGGTATGCAGGATGACAGATCTTCTTACAAAAAGAAACCTTAAGCAGGGAAATCATGGTTCTGGTAGGAAGTAAAACTTAGCACAGAAGGTGGGCTGGAGGCTTGACCCAAGTAGAGTACTCACCTAGCAAACCTCAGTACTACCAAAGGCAAACCAAACAAAAACAAACTAAGTGTTGTAATAACTAGTATGCACTTTGTTCAGTATTTCCTTGGTAACACTTAACATCTCAATGATTCAGGAAGAAAAAGATTCAAAATGAATCAATCATTCATATTTTTATAGTGCTTATATTGCAAAATGGTAATACATAACATTAAATTGTGAAAGTAAGTTTTAACTTATTTGTATTGCTCCCATGTGAAAATTAGAGGATTATTTGACATTTTGTGTTAAAAGTTATCAACATTAAAAAAATAAAAAAGCCAGATCAGTATCACCTCCTAATATTCCCCAGGGGCACAAGTCATGGGAGCCAATGATGATGAAATTTCATGTAATTAAAATCACTTGTGGATCATAAGCTAACGAAATGAATAAAATGGAACTAAATTTTCTAACGGAAGTAGAGACTGGATAGAAAAAGGAAGAACAAAGAACAACTCTGTAAAGATTAAGCAGGCTAAAGTCTATTCTTTTCACAATGGTTTCCATTCTTCCCCTCACTTTCACCTTTCTTTCTTTCTTTTTTTAGTAATTATATTTAAGAAATATAAATTGAGAGCTTATACCAAAAATTTCAAACTAATTAAATCCATGGAAGTGCTGCACCGAAGAAATGTGAATTTCATTTGGTAGATGACACCCTAAAAAAAAAAATCTTCAATTTCTAACACTCTATGTATCACTTTTCTTCTCTATTTTCATCCTATTCTTCCCTCCCATTCCATACGTCTCTTTGGTTACCTACTGCTTTCTTTCTGCCTCTACAGCTGTTGACATTCTATTCACACCACAGCAAGAAGGCGACATAGAAGACTGAATCACTTCCCTTTGGGCTGGGTGAAACTGACAGGCCAAGGGCGCAGGTCTGAAGAGTGTGAAAGTACTTGTGAGGCAGATTGAGAGAGGACTGAGTTAACCTTGCTAAGGCTGTGGACTTGATTATCAAAGAGTATTCTGATCATTCAGAGACAGAGGTAGTCAGTATAAGATGTTTGATGGCATCAACAACTGAGAAGTAAGAGGACAGGTAAAAAGAATCCCATCAAGATCTACAAATTGCCGGGTGCTGGTGGTTCACTTCTATAATCCTAGCTACTCAGGAGGCTGTGATCTGAGGATCACAGTTCAAAGTCAGTCCATGTCAGGAAAGTTTGTGAGACTCTTATCTCCAATTAAGCTCCAGAAAATTGGAAGTGGTGCTGTGGCTAAACGGAGTAGAGCTCTAGCTTTGAGCTGAAAAGCTCAGGGACTGCGCCCAGGCCCAGGCCTTGGACCAGAGTTCATGCCCCACGACCAACAACAACAATAAAAAAAACCCAATAACCAACCAACTAAACAAAAAGTTTTACAAAATTCACAGAGCGCAGAAACAAACCCAGGACAATCTAGAATTCCAGTGAGTATTTTAGGTAATGAGAACCATAACTTCATATTTCCAGTTTGTGCCACAAGTATAGATCTGGTCCCAAGTCTGAGATAAGCCTAATTCAGACATTAGACAAAACCTTTTGGAAGGTACTTTCTAAGAAATAGTAGGGAATGGTGCAGGCAGCTCAAAAGCTAATTTAAATTAATTACTATTCTTCTTAGCAACATTCAAAGTCACAAAATCAAAAATAAGGTGAACATAAATGTCTCCCATTTCAAGTAGAAATATCTTCCTTGGAAGCAAATTATTATAGCTGCTTCCTTAATTGTAGTTCAATTATTTTCTAGGAGATATCTCTAAAATGTGTAAAGTGACTTTTAAGACTTTATATACCACCTGAGATTGCTATAAGATTACAAACATTAAAAGAAAAAGAAAAAAGATATGTACGAACTAATATAGAGAACTGTACTTCTCCTTAAAAAAACAAAAAATGGTGGCATTTTCTCTTTTTTTCCCCCTTTACTTTTCCATATCTTTGGTTTTCAAGGGTTAGCTATGCAGCCCAGAGCCATGGGGCTGACCTCAAATTTGGAATCCTCCTGCCTTAGCCGTCTGAAAACTGGGATTATAAAGTCATGAACTGGTGGTATTTAATAATAGAATTGATAGTTTATGAGACTTCCAAACAAGTAAAGGATGCATAACAGTGTATGATATGTGAAGTAAAATAAGGCAAGAATTTCAGTGCTGCTCAAATTCAGTAAAACTGCAAATTAACATTATCACCCACCTATTTGAGGAAGTTTACAAGTGGTTAAGTCATAGAATAATTTGTCTGTCTACTAACCATGTTCACACTAAAATATATACACAAATATAAAGCAAAATAAATTGTATGTCTTTGCATAGGGCAAATGATTACAGGATTGGATATAAGATGCAGGCAGCTGTATTTCAAAAACTTGAAAGTTTTACAGGAAAAAAATGTAATTTGAATCTTCTTCTCCAGATTGGCCAATCTACCTCATGAAAGATGGCAGACACTGGTAACTTTTAAATAAGGAGTGTCATTTTATAGATTGCATCTCCTACTCCAATTATTGTGTATGTCCTTGTCAGTTTGCATAGCGGAATGTTTATGAAAATTTTATAATCTAAAGACTATTTTAATTTTGAGTTCATTACTTAGGATAATCTTACTGTATAATTTTTAGCAACGTAAATACTCAAACTAAAACATACTTTCTGAATAAGTAAAAATAGCTTTAAAAAGTCCAAATTATAGTTGGATAAGCTGGTGTGCTTATGCAGAGCTCATAAGAATACAGACAAATGAAAAATCTTTGTACACAAATTTTTATTGAAAGTAATGACAGATCATAGCCTTCCATATATATATATATATATATATATATATATATAATATATATAGAAGACTCAGAAATCCTTTAATATTGGGGAAAGTACAGAATTCAATGGGAAATAAACAGCAAATGGCCTTTATCATGCCAAGAAATGCTTGGAACAGGTAGGCATGTTAAAGCACACTTTTGCCTAGGCTATGTTAATAAAGAGAGAATGTTCCCTTGATTGTTAATAACTTAGCATCCTTAATATTCATTCAAGCCATTGATTCATTCAAGCCATTTTTATTTCTAGAATGGGGAAAAAAATCTACCCATTTTATGAGGTGAAATTTCTCAGTGCATACTGTATTGTCAGCAGTAAGGATGGCCCTGGAAATCCAAAGAATAAATCCTTAACTTCTAGGCAGATCACAAATATCCTTGGAATTAAGCTACTTAAATTATAAATAAAATCCTCTTCCAAAAGGAGAGGCACTTAAGAAAACTGTGTAATCCATTATCCTTTTCTTCCTATCTTCCTTCCTTCCTTCCTTCCTTCCTTCCTTCCTTCCTTCCTTCCTTCCTTCCTTCCTTCCTTCTTCTTTCTTTTCTTTCTTTCTTTTTGTTTGTTCTTTCTTTCTTCTTGTTCTTTCTTTCTTTCCTTCTTTCTTTCTTTTTCTTTCTTTCTTTTTTATTTTGTCGGTCATGGGGCCTGAACTCTGGGCTTGGGCACTGTCCTTAAGCTCTTCAGCTCAAGGCTAGCACTCTACCACTTGAGCCACAATACCACTTCTGGCTTTTTCTGCTTATATGGTGTTGTGGAATCAAACCCAGTGCCTCATGCATGCAAGGGAAGCACTCTACCACGGAGCCACCTTCTCAGCCCCCTATCCTTTTCTACCAGACTTGGGAGCACTAATACTCTGGCATGGAGAAAGCATACCTTCCAGGCAATATTGCTGATTCTGCCATAGGAAGGAGAATAGGAGTAGGGGGTCACGATATCAAGGGAAGCCTTACTTAATGAGTAAATGAACCCAACCAACAAAGCTGGAGCCTTATTGTGTCTCTGAAAAAAAAAGCTAAACACATTAGACATTATTCTCAATAGGAATATGCATTTGTGGTGTAAAATAGAGTAAAATGGTCTATTAAAAGAGCAACTGAGTCTCAGCTGGGCACTAGTGGGCATCCCTGTAAATCTAGCTACTTGAGAGGGTGAGAGAGGGAGGATTATAGTTTGAGGCAAGCCTGAGCAGAAAAGGTCAGTAAGAGTGTATCTCAGTGGAGGGAAGATGGATATAAAGGCGCAGTGCCTGTCATCCCAGCAATGATGGAAAGCCTAAAATAGATATATTGTGGTCCCAGTATGTATTTGGGCAAGAAATAAGATCCCATCTCAAAATTAATAATAATAATAACAATAATAATCAGTGAAAGAGAGGGCTGGGTGCATGACTCAGTGTCAGAGTATGTGTCTATCAAGTACAGGCCTTGAGTAAACATTGTTCTGACTGCATCACAAAGTCAACTATCATTAATATTTCTTGCTCTTCCTTCTGGAGAGATTCTTTACCACTCAAATGATCATGTACCACACACCCTGCTCTACATTTTGAGTTTTCCTATAACACTAAATCCTGGAGTTGCTCCATTTTTAGCACATTTAGAATTGTGTGTTCTCTGACTACAATACTCTGTAAATTGTACCAGATTTAATTTACCCAGTTCCCTGTTAAATATTGAAGTTAAATCCAATATTTTGCATTAAAAATAATGCAACAAGTTCCCTGTACTTTTGTCTTGTCACCCATATGTAAGTATTTTTTTAGGATAAATACCTAGAAGTGGAAATGCTGCATCAAAGGATTCAGATTAGGATAGGCTTAAGAAATGGAGAATAAAATGTATTCTCACTTTCCTGCAATCCTCACCTCTCCACTCTGAGACAAGAAAGAAGAAAAATGAGTTTATTAACGCTCAAAGAAATGTTCAAAAGAATTAGTGTTAACTTCATCTGTCCTCTAGGAAAAAGCTTGCAATTTGTTTTAACAAGCTGTCTGGCAAAACTTAGCATGTGTTTGTACGATGTTTGAAAAGACTTACCTCACAGTGCTCTCGATAAAGACTCTGTAGTGACTTGATATCCTCAAAGGTAGTACCATCTGGCAGAGAAGAGATTTCAACTTCTCCAAACTCTGGAAGTGCTCGTGATGCATCTGTTACCATGACAACACAACAGAAAATCAGCTACTGTGGATAGTGTCAATTAAAGATTAGTGAGGGAGAATTTCAGAAGACTGAAGAGGAAAAAAATTGTTTTTCAGAAATCAGAGGGCCAAAGAGCAAGGACTTTTCAAATTTAATATTTTGCAAGCAAAACTCAGTAATATCATTGGAACAAAACATGATTGTAGAGAGAATACACTTAAAAATTGGTAGAAACTAAATTTTCTCTACAATTAAACTAGAAACAACCTAGCACAGGTTACAACTATCTCAAACTTGCCAGTATTACATTGAGCTATTTTTTTATTTTCTGGTACTTAAACTACATAAAAAAAAAAAAATGTAGTTTTAAACTAATGTGTGTTCATACGTTTCATATAATCACAAACTGAAACAATTACACAATAAATACAAAGGAAACTATGAAAGTAACATTAAACTTAGCATTAATATTATCATTAAATTATCTCTCACAACATGCAGATAGTATTAACTGCTGTGGCACGGGGTTTTTTGAGCTTGACAGGCCTGTATCAACATGCTTTCCCATTAAGCTTCCACTTTCAAATGACTGACACTTGCTGTCCACAGAGCCCTGGCACACCCGTTAGCCCTACTACGATGGAGCTGTAATATATAAGTCACTTTCGAAGCTGTAATATATAGAGAAGTTACTTTCTGTTCTTTCTCATTAGCTTTGGAAAATTAAGAGAATACACATTAGTGCCTTTTTCTCAAATTCAAAACCAAATGTGGCATCTAAACCTGCATAACACTATTTCTTTCTAGTTTTCACAAGAGGCCAGACAGAATATGTCTTCAATATTTTTAAAAATAATATGCTTAGAATAAAAAATAACATTATTGATGAAAGCTTGGGAACCCACAGGAATATACTCAAGGATTTTAGTAAATGCTGCTTAACTTCAGTAGCAAGTATCTATTTTAGTTGTCTTTGTTGGCAAGTATATACAAGTATATAACTCTTTATAGGGGTATTTACTCATCTTGACCCACTGAGTGGAAACAGCATACTAATCCATAGAAAAAATTAAGTTCCCACTTTTGACTTTGGCTATATGACAGAAACAGGCACAGTTTCCTAACATTTCCAATGACAAGAAACATGTATACCACAGACAAAATTACAAAAAGAAGCACTGTAATCAATTAAAAGAAATAACTTACTTTTTATGAAAGTTTATAGAGTATTTTTCTACTTTGATAGTTTTATGTATGTAACTTTGTACAGCACAAATGAGAAATATTTTTGAGGCTTGAATTTACCATCTCAAGTAAACACAACTACACGTTCATCATAAAAGCCAATTAATATCACCTCTGGAGACCACTGTCATAGCAGTAAATTATATGCATTTCCAAATATTACCTCGTTTAAGATGCTTCAAAAATAAGCACTAAGAAGTGAGGAAATAGAGATGAACTAGAATTAGGATATAATGTGCATAGTTTCAGCACCAAATACATGTTCCATGTATTTAAAATCTGTAAAAGGTAGTGCACGTGAAGAAACATTACCATTGCTTTCTTCAAAATCCTAATGACAACTAATATGTATTATATCTTAACGTACCTAGAAACTGTTGATGATGCTGACTTTGGGCAATGACGGTTTGCTCAACAGATGTGCCTGTCTGCTGACCACTTCCTGTGAAGCCATCTGCAACCCCGTCCACCTTCTGCATAGGCTTGTACCTGAAAATATTGATGGGGAAAACACACACACACACACACACACACACACACACACACACACACACAATTATTCCTTGATTTGTACTAATCCCCAACCTCCACTGAGGAATTGAACTTAATGTCTGTCTTCTTTAATGTCTCATGACAATCCTAGAATTTCAGTCTTTCAAAGATTTTCAGTTGTAAAAAGGAAAAGTAGGAGGGGCAACAGGAAGACAACTCATGTGTGGCATTCCAAAAGTTTACCTAAGAATGAGAATTATGAGGTATTTATCGGAGCAGCAGCAGCAAAGATGTCCATGTTTACAATTTAATATACATTTAATAATGACTTTTAATGGCCAATTTTGAATACATTGGAGTTTTAATTAGTACTATGATCAAGAAGTATTTGCTGACACCTAAATAGTTATGAAGAGCTTTCAGTTAATTACTCTCTCTAATATATGATCAGTTTACAAGCTTATCATAATATTTTTTCATATCTCATAGGCCCCTTAGGAATCAATACATTCATCTCCCAAAGTTCTTATTCACATCTGTAAATATGGTAGTCCATAAATGTCAGCTTGCAGCAATATACAAACGACAATCTATTTAGAAACCTGGGACTGAATTAAAAAGAAAGTATCCAAGTCATCAGAAGGTACACATTTATCTTTAGCTCCTAGTTTCATGGTTTTATAAACTTTCCATGCTCTATGATAAAGAAAAGGAGCACAAGGGCAAGAACAGAATCCTTGAAAGACAAGTAATGCATACAAACAACAAAAGAACCTGAAGGTTTCCTAGGGGAAGCACACATAAAGAAGTAGGCAGCAATTAAAATTTTTCTTTCGAATAGATTGGGCTTATTTTCTTTCTGTACAAAAATTGAGAAATAAAGCCAGGTGCCAGTGGCTCACACCTATAATCCTAGCTACTCAAGAGGCTGATATCTGAGGATTGCAATTTGATGCCAGCCAGGTGGTAAAGCCTCTGAGATTATTATCTCCAATTAACTACCAAAAAAGCCAGAAGTGGAGCTGTGGCTCAAGTGGTAGAGCACTAGTTTTGAGCACAAAACTACAGGGACACGGCCCAGACCCAGAGTTCAAATGGCAAGACAAGCAAAAACTAAAGATGATGATGATGATGATGATGATGATGATGATAAAGATGATAGAGATGATAGATCAGAAGAAAATGTAAAATGAACAATAAGATTACACTTTTACATAAATTTTACATAATGAATGAATTACAAATAAATTTACATAAATTCATTTACATCAATATGCATCCTTACATCTTTTTCTTATTTCCAATTGTATTTATGAACAAAAGAACTTATTATTCTCCTCATTCAGACATCTGAGTTTTATGTTAATGCCTTTACTAATAAACGTGCAAATAATTAATGTCATTAATGTGCAATTATGACTACCAATATCCACAATATGTGGACAGGATATACTGAAAATACTTGCACTTTGCAATTTTTCATAATGACATCTGCAATTATTTTTTACATGACAATATCTCTCAAACTATTTGTAAAAGCAAGAATGAAGTCAGAGCACGAAGGGGAGAAAAGGCACAACACATTTCTTCTTTATGGCAGTGATTTTAGTGAGAACTTCCGCAACAACAAAATATTGGTTGCTATTTTCTAACTGTATAAAAGAAATCCAGCCCACTTTTCTATAATGCAAAAGCCTTCTAGAAAATTCTTTTCAATTGAGACACACCCAGATACAGGGAATGGAAGAATTTGAATGGTAATGTGCTTAAAGTGTCATTTATGAAGAACTGAATGTTTTTCTGATCTTTTCCTACATTTTACACAATTATCTTAAGAGAATCAAAGAAACTATGTGGCAAGAATCTTGTGGGGAAAATTAGTTTCCTAACCATTCTGTGCTAGCAGGCTCGAATAATTTTTTTTTTCCTATTTTACTTAGGGAGTTTCTATCTTCACTGATTTATTTGTTTGTTTTGTTTGTTGTTGTTTTCAGTGCTTGGATTTTCCATGTAGACACTTAAGCCACATACACAGGCCTCATTCAAATTTTAATTAGACTTCATCTAACTTTTTTTAGCTATTAAATTTTATATCATGAATAAAACAGCATAAAACTGTTTCTTAAAATTAATGTAGCTTGAATTCATGGACCTTTTTTAAAAGTAGCTTAAGGAATTTGAATTATTTATTTGGAGAAGACAAAAACATATATTAACTGTATCATAAGGGATTATGATACAGTTATAACTTGGCCTATTGAGCTTTATCATACACCTTTGCCCTATACAATGTCTTGTAAAACAGGTATGAATAGTAAGGGTAAAGGGACTTTAATTAAAAGATGACATAAATTCTTTTTATATTGTAAGTTTTCACAGGATGGATAAATCAATCTACCTATACAGTGCTTAGCAAGCCTGTAGACTAAAAGCAAAATTATTCACTTCTTGAGGAAAACAGCAATGGTAGTTATTGTTATTTTTCATTTTTTAAATGGTGGTTATTATTATGGACAGTGAAAGTTTCTAAAGGAAGGAGATATATTTTTAATATGCAACCCAAATCACAATGAATTAAAATTAATTTATAACTATGCTGCATACTATTGAGTGGGAATATTAATTAGAATGTGGGAGACAGAAAATGCATTAAAACCAATGTTGAGAGAAATGAGAGAACAAATTGATAAACTATAGAAACTACAGATACATGTAAGAAAGTCTTACATACAGATAAACAAAATTGGCCAAAAACATATGCTCAGAACTAGAAAACAAGTGTTTTCAATAACCTTAGGAGTAAGGTATCAAGGTGGATAATGATTAAATAAAAGGCAGATGCACTATGTGTATACTGACCTGCTTAAAAAAAGAACCTCTATAAGCTAGAACTTACATTGTGCTTCCTAGAAGAAAGGAATAGGAACAGTCTGGAAGGATTTTTTCATACAAGGAAGGGCAGGAACACAGCTCATTAGCAAAAAGGTTATTGTCTGTATGAAAGAGCTTCTAGAAGTGTTAACTTGATGTCTCTACTTTAAGTAATAAATCACATAATGGTATAAACTCAGTGTATTGTCTGGCATTGGATCATTGCTTAGATTATAATTGCCAGAAGTTACACATACTAGACTAAGAAAGGCTGTTCATCCTTTTAAAAAGTGTCTAAGGAAAACATACGAACCTTCATCACATTCAGAGGATAAAGTTTTCCCAGATCAGAAGGGCATTTAAAAAGGAGTTAAGAATAATTAGATTAAATATAGCCTAAACCAATACTTGTGACTCCTCATTCTTCTTGGACAAAAGTAATCAAAAATCTAGTGTTCATTTTGAAACATCAATGCATGTAGATATAGGTAGCATTCCCTAAGATTCAAATACCCATTCTCACCTTAGATCTACACACCAAAATCTGTAATAGAGCTTTAAACTGTACTATACATTTAAGATGTAATTTCTTTAGTAGATTTCACAGTCTTAGTTTATAAAACCTTCTTTTATCAGTACAGATCCCCTTGGCTAATGTTGTAGAAATATCTTCAACAAAATTGGAGGACAGTCTTTACTCAAAAATTAAGTCACCCTTTTTTTTTTTTTTTTTCAACTTTGGCCAGTAAATATTTGGACTGTGCAATACATAGCTTTAAATAGATGAATGCTCAAGATAACATATTTCGTTTTATCATACCATCAACTGATCTTTATATGAAATAAGCTCCATAAATATTTGAGTATTTATTATGAATAAAATGTAAATGATTTTAGAAAGGTGAAGTGTAAATCAATAATTTCACATTTTTAAATACTTTAGTGACCTAAGATGAAAAGTCTATATTAATTCTAGTTGAATTACAACTGACTTCTTAGCATTGAAATATACTTTTTACCTTTCCTGTTTCTCCATACTCTTCATAATAACAAAAACATTAAATTACCAACCCAGATGCCCCTCAGTAGATGAATGGATCAAGAAAATATGGTATATATACACAATGGAATTCTATGCCTCCATCAGAAAGAATGACATTGCCCCATTTGTTAGAAAATGGAAAGGCTTGGAAAAAATTATATTAAGTGAAGTAAGCCAGAACCAAAGAAACATAGGTTCCATGGTTTCCCTTATTTGCAATATCTAGTATATGTCTGAGTCAAGCAGAAAAGGTCAGATAAGGTGATGTTAGGGAAATGAACCCTAAGATAGGTATTCAAATGTTTTTTTCTTTCATGCGATTGTTTCTAACACATTTATAAGATTATTTCTTTGTTGCTTTGTATGTCCCTCCCCCACAGTATAACCCCTGCTTTCACTGTATTTGATGTCGGTATAATTTGTGGAGGCGAAGGGGAAAAACAAATCATTTAAATAGGGATACAGGTGGACCCATTGCAACAATGAGATGTACAAGTCGTTATGTCGAAAATGAACTTTACAACTTTGGTGCAGGGGTTGGGGGTGAGTGGGGAGGTTTCGTTGGGGGTCAGGGGGAGGATTGGAAGGGATGGGAAGGGGAAACAAAGGAGGAGGCTACAATGCTTGATAAGAAATGTACTCATTATCTTGCCCATGTAATTGTAACCCCTCTGTACAGTATTTTCACAATAAAAACAAAAACATTAAATTATGAAAAGCAGCATGCTTTCTATTGAAAAACAAAATATGTTGAATCTTCTTTTAAAAAACTGAACTCTCTGAGCTTTTTAGTATATGAGTTTTACCTTCTTTTTACCCCTACTTATTTTACAAATTCAATATTTTTCAATTAACTTTGCCCAAAGAAGATTCTTAGTTTTCCTGTGTATTCTCTTGGGAGAGACCATTGCATCAAAGTAAGAAATAGCTCTTGGTTTTTAAAATTATTAAGAGCAAATGATCATTTTAACAGCTTGCAACTCCATGGGCAATAAAAACTAAAGTTGTTAATGATTAAGAAATCAAAGAAACACTAATGCTTTAATAGCTGAGTGTATGCATGAAACCTGTCACTAACACAGAA